TGCCTATATTTAGAACTCTATCAATATCCTTTGCCTCCTAGTTCTTTCCTCTATTTCCTTTTACTTCCTTCTTGTTCCACTATCATGTTTGGCCTTCATTCAGGTTTCAGTAATTCCTCTCGGCTACATTGACCTTAATCAAGCCCCACCAAGGTCCTTGCCATCGATTTTAGATCACTTGTTGTTTCCTTGTCCCTGGGTTTGTTGCCCAGCCCCTCCTTTCCCCTGCCTCCTGTTCTCCCGTGTCCCCCCAGAACTGTGGATCCCTGTTTTCTCCTCCAGACTGTTTATCTGCCTATCTTATCTAGGTACACAAGCAAAGACAATTATATGCACAAAAACAAGAGAGCAAAACAAAACAAAAAGCAATTTGAAGAACCCAAAAAAAAGAAAAGCCTATAAATAGTTCCAGGTCTGTTTGTTGATCTTTATGAGTGTTTTCCTGTTGAGTCTGATGGGGTGCCATGCCCTGGCTCCAAAGTCTATTTTTGGTATTCTTCAGGGATTTCGTTGCTTTTCTTCCCTTGCTGCTCTGTTGCATGCCTTCGGTGTGGTGGGGTAAGATCAGGCACAATTCCCACACTGTGTCTCCAGTTTGCCCCCCATGGTGCTATGGGTCCGTGATGTCGGGGCTGGCCCTATGGGACTCTGTGCATTGGCTGCTCTGAGCAGGCATCCTTGGAACTTGGTGGGCGGGTTTGCTTTCTTTTTAGTTCTCTTTTCATATTGCTAAGACTCAAAGTATAATCTTTCACCCTCCTATTCACTTACATGTCCACAAAGAATCTCTAGTCATCTGCCTGGCATTCATTATCTCCATGATTCCTTTCCCAACTATAAAAGCCACAGCAGGTTTGTTTCCTAATATTCTCTACATAGTGACTCTATCTACAATAACTAAACGGCCCTAGTGGTGTAATGGGTACCTTTTGAGCTACGACCCAAGATCACTAAATTCAAACTCACTAGCTGCTTCCTGGGTGAAAGATGAGGCTATCTGTACCTGTAAAGATCTACATTCTCAGAAATCCAAAAGGGCGGTCTTACTCTATTATTTACGGCATTTATGAGTTGAAATCAACTCACTAGTCGTGGGTTTGGACCTATACATTAAAATGAAGTTAAAAAAAATTACAGGGAAAAAATTTTTTTTGAGAATTAAGCATGATTATTAAAACCAGTACAGAAAAAGAGTAAATACATTGGGCAACAGGTGAGCTATTTTCACATTTGCATTTTGTTATTCAGGTGAGACACTGATAATCGAAGATAGCATTAGTAATTCAAAGCTGTAGCTGAATGGTGCGATCTGGATAGCTCTATAAATTCTAGTCGCCTCCAAAGGCATTAAGGGGGTCATCAAATATGTTGGCCACCTTGTGTTCAGATTTCAATTCAGGCATGGACTGTGCAGACTGGCATTTTGGTTTGGTTTTCTTTGCCGGGGTACCAGAGGAGAAGATGTCATCTTTAATAAGAAAAAAGAGAGAGAGAAAACTTACTTAAGGTGGGAAAATGAGTGCTTTTAAGACACGCCCACATAATCCACCAAAGACCCAATTTTAATAACAGTACTAAGACCCCTAGGTTGTGCACTCAGCTGCTAACCTAAAGGTTGGTGCTTTATACCTATCCAGTAGTGCTGTGATCTGCTTCCCATGATTGTTCTTGTGGAGTCATTGAGTCTATTTCAACTCATAGCAACCCCATGGGACAGAGTAGAGCTGCCCCATAGTGTTTTCTAGTTATAATCTTTATGAGGGTCGATCACAAGGTCTTTTTCCTGAAGCGCTGCTGGGAACACCAACAATTCGACTAGCAGCCAACTGCTTAACCACTGAGCTACTAAGAACGGACTCAACAGTAACTAACACCTGGGTACCAGATCGAATCCACTCCAGTTCATAACTTATCCTAACATTATTTTATTTCTATATTCTTTTCACAAGCTATTTTAAAAGCACAATAAAAGGAAATAATGGGAAATCCATTATAGGACTCACCTTATTTCAAAATAAATAGACCTAAGTGAGGTATCTTCAGTGCTAAGAATTTAAGTCTTTGTGACTGCATTCATGTTTAGTGTTCACTGACTCTTACAGCTCTTCTGACTCAAGACCCGGTGATGTTACTGCTTGGATTCTATCCTACAGAAATTTTAGCATGTGTACATAAAAATATACATATGTAAATGTTTAAGACTATGCAATAATAAAACTTAGAAACAATTTACATGACCACCAACAGGCCAATATAATACAAAACCACTAAAAGGAATAATATCTGTGTAACTGACATGAAAGATGATAAGATATTAAATGTCTACAACATATTATATATAGCATAATAGGTATTTTCATTTTTTTTAAATGGGTATATATTTATATACATGTAAAAATACCTATTAATATCACCATGTCTGAAAGAATAAAGGGCAAACTGTTAGTAATGGCAACCTCTATGATTGTATTTCACCTTTTCACATTCTTTGAATTATATTCATCTATACTGCTAAGTTGTGCTACTCTTTTGATAATTAAAGAAATAAATGAAGTCTCGTCTATGTCCTTCATAGTGTGAAACAGGTGGACCAAGCACATGCCAGGATGGGGAAGTCTACTCAGTGCTGGAAGTATACCACCAGCTTTTTTCTAGTTTGAAGAGAGGAGTGAGAGGAGGAATTCTATATTCTATCAAATATAGAAGCTTTGTATTTAGGGTTATTGGGCATTTGTTTGGCCCAATAATAAAACAGATGATATACCCCAGCGGGAAAAGAAGAATTTTTATAGACACTGAAATCTTCTATGAAATGCAAACCTTGATTTATGTATAATCTCCTTTCCTATATAATCCTGTGTTTCTCCTGTACTGGCCCTCAATTCTCTGACTCACTAACATCTCCAGCGAGAAAACCATCTGAACCAACAGCATTTCATCTAAATCATCCACCATCAGCCTCACTTGGGTATTTAACATAAAAAAATCAAAAGGAACCCACTGGGGCATTTTCCAGGAAAGGGAGAAGACAAAGTAGGTGAGTGAATGGTAACAATTCTCTGTCTTACGTAGCTGAGAAAACTTACCCATATCATCATCAAATATAGACTTGGCTTCCACTTTCTTTTTGAATTTCTCTTTTGGTTTTACAGTTAAATCAGCAAAGATATCAATGTTATCGACAAATAGGTTGGATTCCAATGTTCTTTCTTTCTCTCTTGTTTTTTGTGAAGGTTTAATTGCTTCTGTAGCAAATATATCATCCTTGTTTACCCAAAAAGCAAGCAAACAATTTTAAGTCAACTTGTTTAACTGAAAATCCTTACACAAGTTATTGAAATGCTGACTGTCACAGTGCTGGGGATCTAATTTGGAACACATTCCAAATGCCCCCTCCACCCTGGAATGCTCAATCCAGGTATCTAAATGTTAGGATTATTCTCACTCTCCTAGTCTCAACTCAAGTGCCACCAGCTTTACAAAGAGGCCTACTTCCATTAGTCCTCTCTCGAAAGAAGCACCTCCAACCCTAGCTTCAGAATTTCTACACCACTGCTCAGGGTTATTTCTAACAATTAATGTTATTTGAACACATCTTAATTATCTGTTGGTGTTTATATACCCTGAAAATTTTGGGAGAGTCAAACACCCTATACCTCCACTACTCAGAAACTGAATAAACATCAGCCAAGCAGATGCCTCTGATGCTCGTACTGCACACATCCAATGTTTAATTCCAGCCAAGACCTGTTTTCCCATGATCAGAGGTTAGACACCCAAGCTAGACCAATACACCATTGTATATGTCCCAGAGTGGCATTCCACGGAAACGAATCATACTAATCTAGTCTGCTAAAAAGTATGAAAATCAAGGTCTGGCTGGCAGATATGCACTAGCCACAGGCAAGAGTCTCGGACAGCCTTACTGTCAGGCAGACACCATTATAATCTTGAATATGTTGAACCGAACATGTTACTTGGCCAGATGATCTCCCTATAGACCCGACCTGAGTTGGTTCTGGGTGCAAGTATCTTTTACTTGTTCCATGACAGGAATTTCCTCCCTGGCTTTCAGAATGTTGATAAGGGTCTTTTCTTTTTTATTAAATAATCATTTTATTAGGGGCTCATACAACTCATCACAATCTGTACATACGTCACCTGTGTCCAGCACATTAGTACATATGTTGACTTCATCATTCTTACGACACCCACTTTCCACTTGAGCCCCTGGTGTCAGCTCATTTTTCCCCCTCCCTCCCCGCTCCCCCCTGAAATTTATAATTTATTATTATTTTATCATATCTTACCCCATATAACGTCTCCCTCACCCACTTCTCTGCTGTCCGTCCCCCAGGGAAAAGGCCACATGTAGACCTTGTCCTCTGTTCCCCCTTTCTCCCTCAGGTCTTTTCTTTCTTACTCATTATTTGTATTTTGGTCTTTATGCTATTATTATTATATCCTTACAACCTTATTTCAATTTTGGTTTTTATTGTTTCTGTTGGTTTTCCCAGTTTGTAACCCACAGGAGGAGTGGATTCATAGTGATAATACCTGATACAGAGGATGATAGGGGATGCAGGGCTGGGGAATGGGTGATAGGGAGGGAAGGAGGATTTCAAGATGGGAAATGTAGGTGGGAGGGAATACTAGAACTGACTGTGATTACACAACTCATTGTAAAGGTGGTTTAAGAATGGGGTGGGGGTTGTTCTCAAATTTATATGGTAATGATTGTATAATTCTCCTTGATATGATTTTACTACTGAATGCATGTTATGTAAATTATGTTCCAATAAAACTATTAAAAATTTTTTTAATTACAAAATTTATCTTTACTTAAAAAAAAAAAGAAAATTGCGTCTTGTATCAACTGTTAGAGCCACCCAAACACTATGCCCCACATGAAAAAACAAAAACACTTCTAAGTAAATTTCAGATTATTAGGAAAATCTAATTATGATTGCTTAATTAGTGGGTTATCCAAGGTTATAGAATTGGGTGTTCATTAGACTTTGGTTTGGATGCTTGCTTTGATGGCGCCCAATGAATGGTGGCCTGGGGCTACCATTTCTAACTATTGTTATGCTCTCTCTGCTTTTTCATGACATGTAACCATGTCTGGCAGGCATGGTTCTGCCTTTATGAATGGGTGTTACTGAAAGTTTTGCCCTATCTCCAACCCTCATTGTTCATATAAATAGTGTCCAGTCACATAAGCTTTTAATTTGCACAAGTCAATAATTCATGTATTGGGTCTGAAAAGCTGACTTATACATATATCATTTCTTTTTCTCAACACTGTTTTAAATTCTATATGACTGGCTAAATTAATGATACTATCAAGATGTCCCATGGGAATGATTTAGAATGTTCTCTGGTTTAAAAGATAATTATGTCTCTAGAGTGAACTAGAACATATGTAAATCATAGATATATGAATGGATTTGGGGCTTGCATTTAATCATAGCCCTAACCCAAGAACAACTAGTTCATATGACATGACCCTAAGCAATACTTACCCTAATGAAATCACTCAAAAAAGCAAAATGTGATGAAGAAATCAAATGGTGCCTATCAGAAAGAATAGCATCTGTGGTCTTAAAGGCTTGCTTAAATCAAGCAGCCATCAAAGTATGACATTAACTTAGTCCACATGGAAAAAGCACACCAGCCACAGTGATCCAAGGATTTTAAATAATGAAAAAAAGCCTGAATCTGAAGGAGGGAATGGTATCAGAGCTTCAGTTATGAGCACCCAGTTTTCAAGAGGCTATGGATAACAGTGGAAGTCCAAAATCCATTTGCAGGGTCCCCACATGGATTAAACCTCCAGTGAATCCTCTGTGATCATAAGAAAGGGATACGAATAGCCTTGCTATAAGAAAGGGGGCTTTATAAAGTCAATTATGGCAGGTGTAGTCAGGATAAAATATAGCTCCTTATCACTTGATCTCCCTTCTGACCCATGTAAAGTTCTTTCCGTGTTTAACATTTTTTGCTTAATTAAAATTTTTCTGTTTTGTCATTGTTGTTTGTTTGTGTTTTGTATGATTTCCTAAATTTGAACTATTAAATTATATGGTATATGAATTATATGCCAATAAAACATTTGGGGGGGAAAAAGAGATTAAGCGAATCAGTAGAGGAGAGATGGGGGAGACAGATACCAAAACATGGAGCTCTTCAAGGAAGGTAAAAAACAGACTAAAGAGACAAGGACCTTCTCTTCCAGAGCCAACAGAAAGCAAGTTTTACCACAGAGCCAATGCTCTCACTTTGGACTTCTAACCTGTTAAACTGTGAGAAAATAAACTCATGTTTATTAAGTTAAAATAAATAAATAAATAAAATGAGTGGGCATCATGGATTCATGAACAAACCTACAATAATCTGTGGCTCAAATGAAATGAAGAGGTATTTTCCATAACACAGAACCAAGCATAAGAATGTATTATGGAACTTTTACTCAAATCACAATAAAATGTTAAAAAGGAAAACATATTATGATGTCCTGTTACCTCAAAAATATCTTGTGTTTTTAAGAGATCATCTTGACTGTTCAATTTTGACTCATTCTTCTTGCCTTTCCGATCATTAAAGAGATTATCGTCATCTTCCAAGAGAGGAAAAGGGTGGGTTTCTTTTGCTGGTTTGGGTTTGACAGACTGGAAGAGATCATTATCACTGCCGGCCTCAGAGAGAGCCGAAAAAATACAGCTCTGTCCTTTACCACCTCCTGGCTGACTGGCCAGGCCCTCTGATCCCTTTTCCTGAACTTTTGCCCTCCCTGTCGACTGTGACCCAGCACCCTTAGAAAAGATATCGTCAGAATCAAAAAGATCATCTTCAAGAGGCTGACCCAGAGACTTCGTAAAAGGGCTTCTGGCCACTCCAGGAACAGAACTATCTTCCAAAATTGGAGCGGCAACTGCTACAGAGTTGTCTTTCCTACTAGATGACTTGGGCTGTGGCTGATGGAAATCTGGTGAAATGGTGTCATTTGCTCGGTCTGCAGTTAGTCTTCCTGGCGCATTCATGTCCTCTGCCTCACTGGACTCCTGGGCAGCCAGTCGCCGAGCTGCACGTGTCTGGGGTCTGCGTCTCCCTCTCACTTTGATTCGGCTCTGCAATGACATAAAATCAAACATTAATCTGAGGACCAAAAAAAAAAAAAAGAGCTAAGAATCAGTGACAACACAGTAACAGTGTAACTGTATCTAATACACGGCAATCAAGGTAACATGTAAGATAGAAAAGAGGTTAGATTTTTACTGCTATGAGAGCTCTAAAATTAAGTCATTCATAATCCTTCAGTTCCTCCCTTTTTAGTCTTTTGAGTACAGTATCAGTTCAGATTCAGACTACCAAAGAGTGAGTATGTGCGTTCCATGTTCTAAAACCCTACCTTGCCCCTACTCTGTCCTGAATTTCAATTTAGGTATCTTTCAAAACAAGAAAGAATCAGAAGGAATTCTCGTACTAATCTTTTTATTGCAGGCTAGTCTAAAATAAGGCTGTAGAAGCAGTCTTGTAAGACAATAAAGAGATGATCTAAGGCAGCGGTTCCCAACCTGTGGACCGTGTCCCCCTTGAGGGTCACCTGATTCATGACAGTAGCAAAATTACGGTTATGAAGTAGCAATGAAAATAATTTTATGGTGGGGAGTCACCACAACATGAGGAACTGTATTAAAGGGTCGTGGCATTAGGAAGGTTGAGAACCACTGATGTAAGGTGTTGTTTTTTCCTTCAAGAAACAATTCAATCTCATGTGAAAAATATGGCTTAGAAATCAGAACTAATATAATTTTAAAACATGAGTCAAATAGTAGCAATAATACAGTATTTGTGATATTTTTCATAATACACAAGTATATTTGAGAAGATACAACCTATACTGGGCAAAATACTTGACTTGGTTGTGTTTCTCCATTTAAAAGAATTTTACAAATAATTCTGAGAACTAGCTAATTTAAAGCTAATCAAAAACATTTTATACAAAAGTGTCTAATATAGAGATGACAGGGCCTATATTTTCCACATGCTTTCCAGAAGGAAAACAAGTTTGAAAATACTGAAGAGTTTGAAAATACTCTATGAATGGTGGCACTGTTGGGTAATTTTTGGGCTGATAACTTGAAGGTCAATGGTACAAACCCACCAGTCAATTTGCATAAGAAAGCCAAGGCTACCTGCTACTATAAAGATTGACAGTCTATGAAACTCTCTATACAGGGTCACTCTGAGTCCAAATCAACTTGATGGCAGTGGGTTTAGGTTTTTAGAGAGTAGCTAAAAATTTTGAGAGAGAAGATCTGAAAGAAAGAAAACCAACTTAAATGAACTCAAAACCTAAGTTTTACATTCTAATTATGAAACATTTGTATGGGATAAGAGCCGAGGTGGTGTAGTGGTTACAAGTTGGGCTACTAACCGCAAGGTTTGCAGTTCAAAACCACTAGTCACTCCACAGGAGAAAGAGGAGACTTTCTACACCTGTGAAGATTTACATTGTCAGAAACCCATAGGGCAGTTCTACCCTTTCCTACAGTATGACTCTGAATTAGAATTGACTCACTGACAGTAAGTTTGGGGTTTTTTGTTTGTATAAGATGGCAGAGCTGCATCAGACTGTGAGTAACTACCAAGGGATCTCAGAGGAGGAAGTCTGTATTATGGGTAGGGACACAAGGGAAAGTTTTATAGAAGTGGTGATGTTTGATTAGCAATAGAAACCCTGGTGGCACCAAGGTTGGCAGTTCCAAACCACTGAAGAGATGGTATAGTTTTAGGGGAGAAAAAGCAACTTAGTCAGAACTGGCATGAGTTAATGCACAGGAGAATGGGACATGTTCAGGGAATGTGCCTGGTATGAATTAAGTCCAGGCTGCAGGTGGATGATTATTAGTGAATGAAGCTAGAAATGAAGGTTGGCATGAACTATACAAAGTAGAATGTTTTTAACTGGGCTGTGGAGGAATCAGCAAAGGAATGACACAAGCAAGGTGTTCCTTCAAATGAGGAGTCTAACAACAGTGTGTAATTAATGGGTTAAAAATAGAGATAAAAATTGTTTTAGGTAAAATGTAAAATAAATAAAAACAAAGATTGTTTTATCACCTTGTTTGCACTGCGTAAGGTGTTTGCCTGAGCTGGAAGATCAAAACTCACGCTGGTCTCTGCATTTTGGGACTCTGAGGGAGGAAGAGTTAATTCAGGCAATGCTGACTTTGTTCCAGAATTCTGGTGAGCCACCACAGGCAGCAAGGCCGCTGGGTTAATCATTAAATTTGCCTGGAGAAAAAAAACAAGGAAACTTGCACTGTATTTTTTTAAAAAAAACACAACCATCTGTAATCATTACTGTGACCAGAGATTTGGTATACATAATCAACAGTATAAGAGGAGAAAAAGAAATGCAAGAAAATCTAATTCAGAACAAAGAGAAATACATACAGACTGTACCCACAACTGGGATCAATGAGAAAATGTTACAGATGCAGCACACAAGAAGCAACAAGTAGAGGGTGCGGAAGAGACTGGGAAATGAATGCTTGGCAGCAGCTGATAAAATAAAAGTTTATAGATATCACAAGGCAGGGAATGAAGATTCCAGAAGTATTATAATTACTTGTATTTTCCCAATTCGAGTAGATGGCTCTTTGGTTTTTAGTGAAGTGGGACCTGAGGAGTCCTGTGTGAAATTACATACAGTTAAAATCCATGGAGGCAATAGTAAAATAAAAGTCTCTCTCACATGATACTAATGTCTAAAAATTAATGTTGGGTAGAATAAAGCACGCCACATTCTATAGCTATAATGGAAAAAGCATTCAAATATCTCCCAAGGCTTCAAAACTTTTCACAAACACCAACTCATTTATTCCTCCCCATCTACAATGTAGGTGAGGAGGTAGATCTTACATGGAATAAAGGAAGACAGAGATGAAAAATTAGATTATCAAGAGGTATAGCTCATCAAAGCACCAAAACCTAATCAACTGACAGAATTACCACGTTGACTGTCCAGCACAGGAACTACCAATAAGTATAAAGAAATTCACAAGAGCTGTAAGAGCTCTCAATAAAATGATTTATAGAAAAAGAATAGAAATTCACCCACAGCTTAATGCATGAGTCACAACAGCAAAAGAATCTGAGGCTTGGGAAGTCACTGGAGATCTGCTAGCTCAAGTGTCATACATTTCAGGACATTAAAGCTTTAGGGAGACATCCAAGGGCCCCTGGCTAACCAGAACTCACATCTTCAGTCCTGGCCTGTTCCACGGAGGAAACTTTAGTGAAGAAGGAGCCCAAACAACAATAATCCAAGAAAAAGTAGTAGGGAAGGGCAACTAAGATATCAAATCTAATTTACATTAATTCTACTCCAAGGTACTGAGGATGGGGGTCAGGGTGGGGATTATGGGAGGGGGCGGGCAGGAATTAGTTCTATCATCTTCTCTTAAGTCTCTCTTGGACTCAAATAGAATAATAACTCTGAAAATGATATGACAAGTATAGACTCATGACACTCTGAATATGGAATGAAGAGGGGAGTTGAAAAGCATTAAACATTAAAAAAAAAAGGAGTCCAAGATACTCCTTCCTCTTTAATGAGAGAAACTCTGAAAGATTCGGGGCTTGTCTAATAGAGTTTATCCGGACTGAGAGGCAAACAGGAGCTGCAAATTCGTTAAGTGATCAGTAATTACCTGAGGTGTTTCCAGTTTCCCTATGCTTTTTGCTTTGATACCTTGATTGGGTTCTGGAGGTTTCTGGTTCTTGAAAGAGGAAGCTGAGTGATATTTTTTCACTGCCTTCTTCTTTTCTGGTATCTATATATATATAAAAAAAAAATGTATACCCCCAAATCTGTCAAGTATTTTGGAGGGTTTTTGTTTTGTTTTTTAATAATACAAAACAGAAATCTGGCTTCTGAGTTTGAAGAATTTGTTCTCAAATTAGGATTGGACTAACTCACAGGTAGCTAATCTAAAAGCACATTCTTAAGGACTGTGATCCTATCAGGAAGTCCTCCCTATAACAAAAAGAAGAAACAGAATATTTACAAAATCTACCAAAGCAGGCGGACAAAATGACATAGACTCAAACCGAAAGCTTTGCACCTAAAAGGCATGTATATTTTAGTAATTACATTATATAGTTTTAAAATTAAAAAATGTATAATGTACTGAAAAAGCCTATATTAATAATTTAGATTTTGAAAGAGTAATATAGCCTCTCATTAGCACATTCTTCGCTGTTCTTTTATTTGAAATGGAGGTAAACACAACAATTATCTGTGAACATTCCCTAATCATATAACTGGACATTAAGTTCCTTTTCCAGAAGCCTTCCCACACCCCTCAGAATCGAGAACAAAAGGATAGTACCAGAGGTTGTGACTTGACAGAGGTGAAAAGATCATCATCTTCATCATCCTCAAACAGGCTCCCAACATGGACATGTGGCTCTATCAACTAGAGGAAATAAACAACTCAAATTCAATACCCAAAGCAAAAAAAAAACAAAAAAAATCTTATAATGAGAGTAAACAACAATTAGGATTTTGCTGAGACAACATAAAATATGATAGCAAAGTCATAGTTTGGGAAACAAACCCTATTTTTTTGTGTGCCAGAGAAAAGGTCAACATCAGGGTCATTGTCCTTTTGTAGTTTGTGACTGAAGAGGCGCTCTTCATTCTGAAAGACACCTGTGCTCTTGAAGTAGTTATCAGGATCCGGATTCTGATAAAAACAGAGGGCAAGTCACCAGTGATTAAAACTTGTTAAGGACCTATCTTAAGAAAATAAGAGAGAATACATATGGTAGCCAATTAAAAGGGTGGGTGGAGGAGGGAGGGGAAGAAAAGAAAAAAAAGAAATGGGTTGTGGGAAAACAGGGCACTAACCCACCCAATGGGAGGCTATTGTTCATATCTCCACAGGGAAAGAGGGACCAGACTTCAGCCTGGTGGTCCAAGATGTGAATGCAACATACTGACATGAAGCAGGGAACCAGTAGAGAGGTCTGAGGAGCCGTCCCCAATCCCAACTAAGTGGACAGCTGCCCCTCCCCCCTGAAGAATTTACTTCAGAGGACAGCACTGAAGCTACAGCTCAGGGAGAGGGACATGTCTGATCAGAGCACACAGGAGCAAATGAAAGGGAAGGAAGAGAGAGTGGAGCACATCCTGTCCCACCAAGCCTTGAGGAAGATATCCCCACTCAGAGCAGCCAATGCACAAAGAGGACCATATGGCCAACCCCACTATGAGACACGACATCCCTCACTGACCCATAGCTGTACAGGGGACAACACTGGAGACACGGTATGGGAATTGTGCCCGATCTGATCCCACCACACCCAGGCAAAACACTAAGGGTGTGCAACAGAACAGCAAGGGGAGCAGAGTCCCGAGGGAGTACCAAAAATGGACTTCGGGGCCAGAGCGTGTCACCCTATCAGACTCAACCAGAAAACACTCCTAAAGGTCAACAAACAGACCTTGAACTATTTACAGGCTTTTCATTTATTTCATCATTGTTTTTTTGTTGTTTTCTTTTCTTTTCTTTTGCTGCTTTGTTTTGCTCTGTCTCGATTTTTGTGCATATTATCTCTGTGAGTCTATCTAGATAAGACAGGGTGGATAAACAATTTG